TCACTCCAGAGAAGGGAGTGTGATGTCTTTGATTAGCTGGCAGGTGATCAGACGTTCGTAGTGCACTGGTCTTTGATATCTCTGAGGTTGATAGTTCTCAAAAGTGCAAATATGTTGTCACTTGCACCGAGATCACACCTCACCACTGCCACCTTCGCTCGAGAGTTTTTGCCGCTCAATAGGAAGAGCAACAAACTCCCCCGGTAAGATGTCTTTGTATCATCCTTACCCGGAGTTGTTTTCTCGCACGCCCTATGCAGGGCCCCCAATTGTCAGCCAACTTTATAAGCAGACATGATGGCCGGATTATTAATTCGTCTCCGATATGCTCCTTCTCCTTGTTGGTTGTTTTTCTCACTTTTTGCAATGAAGACTTGTGCTCAGTTTTTACTATAACGAGGAGGGCACTAGGGGTATGGATTCCTGAGCTAAAGTGGGAGTTGTAGGGTCCCCTTAAAAGACACGGGACTTCCGCAAGCTTGGACTAACGTCTAACTAGCGTTGGTTGAAATGCCTTTGATGTATAACCAATTTGGACGCTGCAATATACAGTATGTGCCCTAACTTGTGAAACGCAGTGACAGAAATGAAGATGACCTATTCTAGGCACCTAAACCGGTGTGCCTGTAAAAGTTGGGTCTAATCATTTGACACGAGTTTTCACGTTTTCAACATGTTCACCTTCCCAAAGAAGATTCTTTTTCTTCCGATCAACGAACTAGTGCCTGTGCATTTTCATGGACTCTGAAGTCGTGGATTTTGATGTTTTGTTGGATGCGTTCGTACCCATTTTACATTGTTTAGTGGTTTTTTCCATGTGGTAGATCTTTTGGTGGAAGGGCTGCAGTACTTGAAATTATTGTTTGACGCAAAACCGTCTTTGTGATGAGCAGGTAGGGTAGGTCTACTCGTGATGTATGTTGTATCTTGACAGCACGGAGTAGCCTACAGAGGCCCAGGGTTCACATATGCTTAATCAAAGCTCACACACAAAGGCCCCACAAATTGCACGGGTCGGAATGCAGGTGTGGTTTGCAGGTTATTTGAAAACAGATGTGCCTGAAAGAGTTAGCAGTGGCATGCTCTACGGTGATTGTTTGGTGTCTAGTAGTGTCGTTTTATATACAAGGTGGATGAATTGTGGATGTTATCGGCTGAAGAATGTCACCCTGGCTATGCCATTGCGCCCACATTAGTAACTTCTTCTGAGATTGGAAGTCACCTAAAGTGCATTCCATTCAGGATGCGGATGGGTTGGAGGAGAAGGCTTTCAGCAGCTGCGTGCTTAGTGGTTCCCGTGCCGGCGCCGCTAAGCAGCATTTGCTCCGTCGTCGATATACTTGTATGAGCAACCTCTTTGCCGTATCTCTCCTTCTCCGTTTCCCTTTTACAGGCCACTTCGTCATGAGTGCTCTTCTACATATCCCTATTGGTAGCTACATAGAGCCATTTAGCGTCTTCTTGTGGCTGACACCTGCCGGTTGTCGTTTACCCCCACAATGACCAGGACGCCGAGCAGTCGACTCTAGCGTTCCATAAATTGGGCGTCCACTACATCG